GTTAACAGCAGCCGTGTAAACATACACCCTTCAGCTGGGTGCTGATACCAGCCAGGGCATCAATTTTTCCTTTATCTAATAGCAGGTAATGATTCTTGTGCAGTCAGTCATTCCCACAGGATGTATTTTGTGGCCGTACAGCAAAAATGGGACTATAAGCAGAACAGGTAATGATCTGCAGGGAAATCTCCTGATAAAGTGTAAAGTAATCAAGAGTGTGTAAGCAAAGTTTACTGAGGACCGGCCGTGAGGTTGAATTTTAAGCAAGTCGGTGAGAATAAACAGAGCAAGGAACAGAAAGCAGAGACCTGACTCTGGGTTATAATATATGCATTTTGTTAGGTAACATACAACACAGTGCTTAGTATAGTATATAACATGTATTATTAACCATCCATTTCATTGGTGAAACAATTAGGAAATGCAAATGTCAGCAGCTACAGAAAGAAAGAAAAATCTTGTAGGTGTTTTTATTTTTTTCATTTTTTTTCAAACATCTCTTTATTCGTTTTTATGCATAGAAATGACACTCAATAAACAAGACAGACTTTACATACTATAGCAAAACAAACATAACAGAAAAAGAAAGAAAGAAGAAAAGAAAATGGAAACACAGCCCAAATAATATTCAAGTGTCTTCATTCTCCCAATCATGCTGTTGACCATTAAGCTCCAGGAAGTCGTAAAAGGTTTTCCAGATTTCCCAAAACCTATCCAGTTTGTTTTTAAGGAAACAACATATCCTTTCAAGAGCAAGGTAGAAAGTCATCAGCCATTGAGAAAGTCTTGTATGTGTTTTTTTAATCTTATTTTACCTCCCAGAGTCACTGGAAATATCCAAAATACTCAGAAACCTTTTGTAAGGCACTGCCAACCACTTTTGTGTGAGGACTGAAGCAGCTGCCATAACATTGTTGTATACAATTAACCTTTTCGCCCATTTATTTCAGTTTCCCTATTCAGTGGGATCATGCCGATCAAAACATAGCATAGAAAATGAATCCACTTCGATCATTGTTTGATTGGATAGTTTAAGAGGAAACAATATGAGCAATAAAAGACTGTGGGTACTAAATGCTTCCATGTAATGCGATATAAAAACCTGAGCTTCTAAGCATCATTGCACCTCATAAGAGGGAGATTGTATACCTCCACAGTGCTCAGACATTAATTTATTACACTAAACAGTAATATACAATTTATACTGATTACACAAACGGATACAAAGTGTTGTTTAGTGAGATTTTATGGCACTGCTAAACTGATTTTTTTTTTTTTACTTATTGACAGAGCCAGGCTACCCGTTTCCGGTGATTAGGCTAAGCTAAGCTAATTAGCTTGTAATTGAACTTTGGGATTTTAGCCTCCGCAGACCATTTACATGCACAGAAACCTACAGTATATAACACACTAAAGGAAAGGGGAAATCCCAAAAAGATTAAAGTGCCTCTGTAAGGGTGAGGTTTAAATTGTTTTCCTACCTGTGGTGAATCTATTAGACTCCAACTGGTTTGTATGAGCCTCGACTGTTTTTAATGGCTGCCTCCTTTGAATGTGGTTTTCTCTTTGACATAGAGCCATTCAAGTGTTGACGTCATGAGGTGGGGTCACAGCAAGGTTGAGATATAGTCATCATTACATTTTATTATCATGGTATACTTTGCACACCCTGATAATGATACAATTCTAACTATTTCTTACATTTTCATTCATACATTTCTGCTCAACTTCCCTATCTTACCTAGTGCATTCACTTGTGTACAGAAGCAATTGAAAATGCACTCTACTGTTTAGAAAACGGCTAGAATATAGAGATTGCTCTTTAGCCGTCAGCCTGTTGTATAAATGACATCCTTAAGTGAAAACTACCAAATCCCTAAGCACACTGAATTATTGATCACTTGGAAATGCCATGGTAAGCCTTGTGTGGCCCCACAAGAAGGCCATTAAAGGCAAAGAGCTTCCGAAACACATTAGGAGGGAAATGTTTATTGTGGTAGTGATGAACAGTAGTTTAATTAAGTAGATATGTAATTTTATTTGCAATTGATTTTCTTAACAAAAGGTTCTCACATCCCAGCTGAGCCCCAGCTAGATACACATCAAAAGTCAAACCAACTACTATTCACGCTGATGCAACCCAATACTGTAAATTCACCATTATGGTCTGATCACAGTAACTTATTTATCTAGCAAGAAACCATTAGGCACAGCACACATATTCTCTATTTATTATATATTGAATGAACATCCACACATTGACTACGTTCCCTGTGGAAATGGATTATGTGTTGTTCATTTAGCTTCTAATAGTGCCAGGGCCCTACGGCTCCTCAGCCTCGCTTCATGTAATGCAAGAGAAAATGTGATTCATATTGTTAGGGCCTTTACAGCCTCATCTGTAATGAGCATTGTGGTAAGAGGAAACGCAGGAAATTACTAATGTAACTATTGATGTCGGGTGAATTGTGCTGCTTCTGCATGTAATAGTGTGAACAATTAATTATCGGGAAATGGACGTTGGCATGCAGGGATGTGGAAGAAGCTTGTTTGAGGAGATTTCTAAGCTGATCCTTGTTTCGGGTCTTGGTTCTTGTTATTGATGCCTGATTAAAAGGATTACTAGTCTTGTGTGTGCAGCAGTGTTTAAACTACAAGGTGTACATAGTGGTACACGTTTGTAACTGGTAAATCAGATGAGATGGTGAGTAAAGAGAGGACCATCAACACGTGTGTGCTCACAGATGTGCCAAATACAGATTTCAATGATGGATTAAAGGGACAAAACTCAAATATGTCAATCAATATGCTGTATTCTCTACAAATGGACATAACCAACATACAGCATACATGTAATATGCCAAACAAACATACTTAGAGTATATCTAGCCTTGTGCCGATACACAATCAGATCGCAAATCAAGGATTGAAAGAGATCATTGATGATTATTTTTCCACTGCCCATATGAGGGTGATTTCACGATCACATCAAATATGTTTTAAACATCTCTCAACTATTTGCACCTGGTAGAGTGGCATGTCACCTGACAGATATATGAATACTGAACCACAATGCAAAACACAAATAAGGACAAGCAGTCTTACATTGTGTCCACTGCTTGTAGGCGTCTCAGCTCCATAGAGAATTCATGGGCACACAATCTGTCTGGGAACTTTGTTATTCAGTATATTTGGCAGCACTGAAAGGAATCTTTTTATTTTTCTTCTTATCCCCTAAAACCTCAGGAGAGGATGTGTGTGTGTGTGTTTTAAAAAGTTGTGCTTTACCATGGGATCACCCACATCCCTTTCCCTTCATCTGCTTCCTTTCTCCTAACAAACACTACCTATGCACATTGGCTCCCTGTGCATTTGGGAATACGTTTTTGACTTCCTATTGGGAACTCTCAGTTACTGTATGTTGATCCCATACAGTATGAATCATAACAGTCCATATCACCGGTCATCTCTGAATCTGACAAAGAGACATTCATAAACTACTAATTTAAATACTTTTTGTAAGAAACATAATTACGTACAGGTTACATTTTCTGTCAACACAATGAAAAAACGTTGTAAATGAATGTATCTACTTTTTCCTTTTCTGTAACGTACATGTTAATTGTGCGATAATAAGGTTTTTTTGTTATGATTATCAGTCCTGCATACACTTGTACATCTAATTACACAAAATGTGAGTAGTGCATGGTCTAGCCTGATTACCATAGAAGTTAAGAACAGATGGATTCATCTCTCCATGGAAAATTACCCAATAATGTGCAATTTGGTTGTTATAAATGGTAACTGCACTGTGTATGTGTTGGGCTTCAGGGATGCTTTTATTTAATTGAAATTGATTCTTAGCTAATTATGTCTCCTCTGTATTCAATTTAGCATCTTTTTGTGTTTGAGTGGAAGCAAACGAGCGACTGATTTGAAGAATCAGTGTTGGGATTTTGTGGTCTCTTAGATAGTGACCTAGTTTAGGCAAATATCTCACTGCACTCGAAATGCTGTTAAAAGAGTGGGTTATTTATGTATATACAGTAGCTAGGCAAACAAAGACAAGTGATACCCAATCAAATGTTTTTTTAGTTTACATTGTTGGACAGAAAGAGACCAATACCCTATACCCACAGTATTTAACCACCATTAAACCACTAACCACTATTTAAGAACTAGATAACCCCTTGGATTGAAAATACTTCAAATGCATTTTTTGTGAGGGATTGGTTGATTAATTGATTAGTTATCTTGCAAGCCAGTTTAAAAACAATGAGTTTGGATTACATTACCTGTTAGAAATGGCTGCCTGGCTTCAAAGCTGTATGGTAATTGAAATGACAGTGTTGTTGACAGAAATCAACCCGTCTGTTATCAGGAAGGGCCACTCCTCGGGTTGCATGAGGAACAGCAGGGTATTATTGTTGGAGGAATGTGGCAATTATATTTCAGAAGCTGCTCCTTGGAAATATAGAGTGCCGAACTCAGGAGCTGAAGTTTATCTTTGGCGTGGTTGTATGAACTTGCTGACCCTTAACAGCTTGGCAAACATTGAACGTGAAACATATGTTTTTGTTTTGGTGGTGCTGTGTTTTTAAGGTTTTTAATGCCTAAAAGTGAGCAGCCACCTTGTTTTGAAGTCTGCAAAAGTTACATGAGAGTGAGTGTTATTTACACACAGAAGATGATTTTACCTTGCACTGCTTGAGCATTTACTAGGAGTTAGAAAATATTTAAGCCAAGGTCGTGACTCCTCAGTTTAAACCAAGATTTTTCATCGTCTGATACAACACCGTTTCTTGTCGTCTGTTCCATCTACATATTTGAGATAAAAAAGGGATAAGAGTTGGTAACTGCTTAAATATGTATTGCCTCTAAATTCTAAATTAGAAAGAAGAAAATCCAACCTAAACACTACATCCAAACATGTCACATTATAACATTTATTAAGTCTATGATGGTCTAATCTGAATCTTTCTCCTCTCTTCCCTCTAAAGGTTTGATATCCTCATAAATCGTCACCTAACGGTGCTGGTTTGGACGTCATCATGGGTCGCTGGGATCACTCATCCCTCCTGTCCCCTGCCCTGAGGGTAGCAGTCTTCACGGTGATCATCCTCCTAAAGCTCGATCCCTCTTTGGCCGGCACTCTGCCTGAGCAGAGTTTCGATGGCTCCGTTTTAGCGGTGTCCACCAACAAAACGGAATGCAGCATGGCTGAGCCATGCGCCAAAGGGGTGGTCCTTCCTATTTGGGAGCCTCAGAACCCGTCATTTGGTGACAAAGTTGCCCGGGCAACAGTTTATTTTGTGGCTTTAGTCTACATGTTCCTTGGCGTGTCGATCATTGCAGACCGTTTCATGGCATCGATAGAAGTCATCACGTCTCAAGAAAAGGAGATCACTATAAAGAAGCCCAATGGAGAAACCACCACCACCACCGTTCGGATCTGGAACGAGACCGTCTCCAATCTCACCCTCATGGCTCTGGGCTCGTCGGCTCCTGAGATCCTGCTGTCCGTCATAGAGGTCATAGGTCACGGGTTTGAAGCTGGCACACTGGGCCCCGCCACCATTGTGGGTTCTGCGGCATTCAACATGTTCGTCATCATCGGGCTTTGTGTGTACGTTGTTCCCGACGGCGAGACGAGGAAGGTCAAGCACCTCCGCGTGTTCTTCGTCACGGCCACCTGGAGTATCTTCGCCTACATCTGGCTCTACCTGATCCTGTCCGTGATCTCTCCCGGCGTGGTGCAGGTGTGGGAGGGGCTGCTCACCTTCTTCTTCTTCCCCATATGTGTGCTGTTCGCCTGGGTGGCCGACCGCCGCCTGCTGTTCTACAAGTATGTGTACAAGCGCTACCGCACTGGAAAGCAGCGTGGCATGATCATCGAGACCGAGGGAGACCGCCCACTTCCTTCCAAGGTATGCTTGGATTAATTAACACTAATAAACAAAGGAGCACATAAGGCACTCTATGTAGGCGGATGTGAGTTCATTAGTAACGTGTATCTAAAACAATTATCTCTATTACTGAATGGATTCCCGCCAAGGTAAACTCCTGCCATGAAGCATATCAAGCTTCTGCAAAGACACACAGATATATTTTAATTATTGTAACTTTTTAATTTCCTGTTTTTGTTACTATCTGATGCTCTTTGTGATGTCTGACGCGGTGCATTGCACTGATCTAATTGCATTTTTAGTATCACGCTATGTTTAATCACCACTCAGTTAATTAAAGTCTCTCAGTGTCGATGTTTGTGTTACCTTTTCTTTCATTTGATCAATAATAATCAGTGCTACGTTAGTTCATGAAGAGCACTTTTATTTCAACTTCTGGCAAAAGAAAATCATTGCCCCACCGTGTCAAAGAGGTAAAAAATAACGTTTTAAATGGCCATTGTGCTCAAAAGCTTAATGAAATGTTGTCAATAAAGCTGTATTTAAAGGATAACAGGCTTTCATTGATAAAGAGAGCAAGATAATGGCTGATATACAGTATTGTATCTAATATAAGCTAGTATCTGCCTGCAGTCACACATATATTTCTCTAAAGAAACATGTCATGAAACTGTAACTTAAGATATTAATTACCCCAGCAAACTACAGAAACTTTACATTTTCACATGTATTTGCATGCTCATTAGCCTGTTAAACCCCGAGCCTGTTTTTCAGGTTTCAGGCTCGAAAATGACATGCCCAAAACAAATGACTACAACTTCACTTCTAAAAGGGTTATATGAATAATTTCTTTTATCAAAGCAAGGTTACATCTGTGAGTTGGATGTAGAAGTGTCAGAATCAATGTAGATTTTTCTCAGTCAGACTAAATTCAGATGGAACATAGTAAAAAAAGGTAAATTCTTACCTCCGCCTAAAGAAAAAACATTACTTATAGTGAAAACCACCCTTGAATGATGGGATGGTAGACTAAAAGCTTGAGGAATCCAAACTATAACATATAATAAGTACCCTGTATCAAGATTGAGGCAAAACAAGTTACATTTGACCTTTTTAAGAGAGGTTTAGCAAAAAAAAGTTCCAGGCGGAATAAGCTTTCGGCACATTTGGGTATATCTGGTACCATCAGTGCCATTTGACCTTTTTCAGGTACCAGACTATAAAAATGATGTATTACATTGAATTATCACCATAGGTATTCATTCCATTCAAAGAAAAAAAATTAAAATTAAAAAAAATTATAAAAAAAAAAAAAAAAAAAAAAAAACAGGTTAGGGTATTGCATGAAAGCACTAGAAACTGTTGTGCCTTTAGATTCGACATGCTGCTCACAAGCCTTAAATCAATAGCACTGAATACATTGTTTCCTTTTCCTTTTTAAGGTGGACATTGAGATGGATGGGAAGATGCTGAACTCTCATGGTGTTGACTTCCTGGATGGACCATTGGGTTTGGATATAGATGAGAAAGATCTGGATGAAGACGAGACCCGCAGAGACATGGCCAAGATCCTGAAAGAGCTCAAACAGAAACACCCTGACAAGGAGGTGAGTGACAAAGTCAAAAGAAGGCAGCAGGAAAGAAACAACATTCTGTCACTGTTGCTCTTGTCTATATAGGAAATGATTTGAGAAAATAAGCAGCAACAGATGACGCACTTTCTATTTGCTTCCATTATCAGAGATTATCGTGATGAAAGCAGCGCAGGTCTCATCACAACCTCTCACATTCATTTGATAATGATACATCTACAAGAAGAAAATTGCAAAGGAAACTGAGCCGGCACTGAATCAATATGTACATTATAATGATAAACACAGATACTGTTTTGACATTGGCAATTCATACAGTATTAAATAGCTTCTCTGGCACTATGATAAACATATGGACTCATTTTATTGCAGCATCCATTACCTACAGTACTGCATGAATAAGGAATGTTCAAGACCCACAGAAGAACATATGTAGTTGTTTTGAGTTGGCTCTGAAATTGGTCCTCAATTCCCCACAACATTCTCATTTTGTTTGTGGTCTAGATATTAATCCTGGTGCTGGCTGACCTAATAGCGAAGGGATGGATATAAACTATTGCTGATGACTCATTTAGCAGAATGTGGAAAGGAAGACTCGCTCTCTTTATGTTACTATAAATAAAGTGGGCAAAATGTCCACTTGTTAACAAAGTGTTGAATGTAAATTGTTGACAATAGCCAGCAGGAATAGCCAGACGTTATCCATTGTTTGCCCTCTCTTTGAAACCAGCTAGATCATTGAAATGTTGATTTAATGCTAATGCATTATAACATAGACTGTGATTAAGAACGGAGGTTAAACTCTTGACCGTAACTATGGGAAGGATATTTTACATCACCAAGTTTGGTCACCTGTAAATGTATGTATTGATAGAAAAGGAATACTAGGGGGTGAGAAAAGGATAAAAAGAAGGAATAAATCAAGTGTGTTACTCAGGGATATGTAAGCAAGATGGATGGTTGATGACATGGGACCTGACCCTTTTAATAAAGAAGGACATCTCTACTAATGAAATTAACAAGCTGTTCATGTTTCATTCGACACGTCATGTTCTGCTGTAATCTGATGCATATTAATCTTGCATATAACTAATTCAAAGATGCTGTTGATGTTAATTCTCTGTTGATTTATCGTTAGATCACTGTCCTTGTCCTTGTCTATTCTAGGATGTACCCACATGGCACACCATTAAATGTTATTTATCCAGACAAGAAAGATGAACCCTGAAATTCAGCCAGACAGTCTTCAATGATGTTCTCTCATTTAAGTAGACAAGTTGACAAAGAAGACATTCTTTCCCAACATAAAAGGTCTAGGGGCTAGCGTTTCTGAGGAGAAAATCCTTTCACACTGTGTTTTCTTATTTTTTTCTCACCAGGTGGAACAACTCATTGAGCTTGCCAACTACCAAGTCCTGAGCCAGCAGCAGAAGAGCCGCGCTTTCTACCGATGCCAGGCCACCCGGCTGATGACAGGCGCTGGAAACATCCTGAAGAAACACGCCGCTGATCAGGCCCGAAAAGCCGTCAGTATGCACGAGGTTCGCTCTGATATCGGTGATAACGACCCCATCTCCAAGCTCTTCTTTGACCCCAGTTCTTACCAGTGCCTTGAGAACTGTGGCACAGTGGCGGTGACCGTGGTGCGACGCGGTGGCGATTTGGGCAAAACCATTTCTGTGGACTACCGTACAGAAGACGGCACGGCCAACGCTGGCTCGGACTACGAGTTCACCGAGGGCATGGTGGTCTTCAAGGCTGGTGAGACGATGAAGGAGATCCGTGTGGGGATCATCGACGACGACATCTTTGAAGAGGATGAGAACTTCCTGATCCACCTAACCAATGTCAGGATGTTGACATCAGAGGGCGAGGAGCCAGAGGAAGGCGAGTCGGCGAATCACGTGGAAACAATGGCGTGTCTCGGCCTTCCCGCAACGGCGACCGTTACCATCTTTGACGACGACCACGCAGGTATCTTTACGTTTGAGGAGCCGGTATTCCACGTGAGCGAGAGCGTTGGCACCATGGAGGTCAAGGTGCTGAGAACGTCAGGAGCCCGCGGCGTGGTAACGCTGCCGTACAAGACGGTGGAGGGAACAGCACGAGGTGGCGGAGAGGACTTCGAAGACATTCACGGTGTCCTGGAGTTCCAGAACGACGAGATCTTGTGAGTACATTTGATCTGTCTACCTCAAATTTGAATCATAACTGTGTCTTCATTATCTGCATGTTTCATTTGATTTGTTTTCGCTCTGTGTCAGTGTGATGTTGCAAATGTTATTGCTGATGATGTGAGAAAGTGAAGGTGTGATGTGGTGGTCACGATGAGCGGCGAGGCGGACTGCTCATTCTGGACCAAATCAACAACTCCCCACCCCTTTTTACCATGTCTCTACTTTCTATCTTGACTCATTCATTTGCTTCTGTTCATTCCTCTTTGCTTTGAATTATGTCGTGCTGCTGTTTTAGTCTTCTGCAAAACTGTCGGTTTTTATTGATTTAAAAACTGTATTTCTGTACAGTTAGCACATTCATTAAGGTTAAGCCTGTGTGTTGCATAGCCAAGAAGATGGGAAACTGGCTTATTTATTGGACGGTTGACGGTTTGAATGTTAAGTAGACATAATGTCAAGACATGGACATTGAATAAGAAGTGTTGAAGTTTCATTAAGCAAGGCACTTAAGGGCAAACCTAGAGGAGCTGGTTGAAATACGTTAATAAAACAAGCAGCAGGGAATTGGGGCAACACGAAGAAGAAGCATCTATCTTATCAAGTTTATTTGGATACACAAAGGCTTTTTGAAAAAAATGCCAGCTGCCCTTTTCGGTGTCTTTTATGCTGTGTGAGAACATCCCAGAGCAACTACTCACGCAGTAGAGCCTCTTTTTGTTTTCTTGTTCTGTATAAAAAGGACTTGAAACGCCATTTAAGGAATCCCTGCTGTTAAATACCGCTTCCAAAGTTCAGAGCTCTTCAGAGCCAGTCGCGCAGGCCTTATTATCTGATGATGACTCATGGTGAGGTCCGTGATTGCTATTTGACCACATGTCAGGAGGTTTTCACCACAGTGATGATGTTGCTCACAGCCAGAGACTCTGACATCTTGACCCGCTCACAGTGTTGGGAATTAACTCCAGCTTTCGGCCAAATGTTTGAACAATGCTAACCAAATCCCAAAGTCCTCTTTTGTTCTTTAAGTCTTTCATTGTTAAAACAACTGATGTGAATACATATCTGTGTGTGTTTCATCATCATTGGACTGAAGCTGGTGATACAATATGAAACTGACTCAAATGTTGACTCAGTGCTTGACTCAGATGTTATCAGTTCAGAAGCGATAGGTATTTAAAATAACAGCATCGGCATGAAAGCACATTTTGTATTTACAGTAGAATGCATTGTTTTATTTTAAAGTTTCTTAACTTTCTTAATGTTTAGCTTGTCAGCAGTAGACAACAATGTCATAGTATCATATTTCACACAGACTCTTTATAACCAGTTAATCTGCCAGTAATAAGGCATTGTCTCAGATTTTCTTTGATGAAGATGACCGTTTATTATGGATTTGTGTCCTTGTGATTGCTGTTGATTTTAAACTTGTGTTTTTATATGCCGATGTTCTCAGAAGTTAAAGCTGCTACTTTTCACCAAACACTCAATTGGTGCAAAATATCTGTTTTCTGTTAAAACACTCAATAAGGTGGGCTGCTGGTCTCTCCCACTTTTTCCCTCATACAGCAAGGTGGGCGTGTTCACGATGTCACAACAAATTACTGTTTGCAGTAAAAGTCTTCTCAAGGTGGCCTTAAGGGCTTGTAGTGCTAGTGAGAATACAATAAAGTTCACAGCTTCCAGCAGTTGACCTCTACTGTTTATGCCACATGCAAGTTTATGGGAATAGTCTTTTTGAGAACGCCCCTGACCATTTGGACCAAATTGTTTTTCACAGAATGTAGGCTAAATTAATATATATTGGAGGGACTTATTGGTCTTATTGGAATATATATATATATATAATATGGTCGAAAACAGGTGCTGCCGCGGTGGAACTGTAAACCTGATGTTGATATTGGATAATTGGACTATAGTAATAAAGTAAGCTTGCTTGTGTTCAGAGTTGCGAGTAGATGGAGAGCTCTGTCTGCTTTTAGCAGGCATTACTTCTAAGTTACAGTAGTGCTTACAGTGCGTGTTTGGAGATGTTCAAATTGCTTGTGAGAAGGAGTGTTGTAATGACATAAAACAAAGTGTGCTGTCATAATGAATGAATTGGAGAGATGCTGTCCTAGTAACAGTAGTCTAAAACGTTCTCTCTCTCTCTCTCTCTCTCTCCCTTTCTTCTGTTTTTGGTCAGATTTGAAGCAGATGTCTGCAAGGCTGGCTTTTTCAGCTTGTGGCAGACGGCATAGTTTCCATAGCGTATAGCTCTTACAGCCAGGACTAAGTGGGTTTTAATAACACTTTGTCAAAATCAAATGATGGACTGTCCTTCCGGGCTATCATGGTTACTGTGTTTGTATTATTGTGTGTGTTTCCTAGGGGGAAAGACCCAAAGGTGGAGCAGAAGGACTATAGTTGTAGTGCCTGAAGTGGAAAGCATTTTGAACATAGCTACTTGTAGTAAGACGCCATCTTGCTTCTAGATAATACAAATGAAAATATTCCTACAGAGTCCTTCAACAACCTAATCTCTAATGTTCCCTCAAAATCATATCTGCTGAATTTCCCATATCATCTTGATTAGCCTAGGTTCAAATGGTACGGTGCTGTTAAATGAAGTAGCCTCATACAAAATGATGGAGATTAGTTGATGGGGCATTACTGGTACAGGTAGGAAATAGGAAAGTGCTGGGCTGTGCTTTGTCTTCCGGATGAAGTTTCACACCTTTAATGTGATGCAAGTTAAAAATAGCTGCTGTAGACGTAGCACCATTTACTTGGTTGTGCTGACAGAAACTGCAGGCTCAGTAAACTTGCTAAAACATTTAGGACACATTAAAGAATATTCACTCAGTATACTGCCACTTGCTGTTGTAAGTATTTATAGCCTAAACACATTCCCAAGATGGGCTTATTTTTAGAAAATGTGCATTCCCATAGAAATAAGCAGTATATGCCATCAGTGCTGCTGCGGCCCTGTAGTGTGTCCCTACTGGGAATAGCAGAGGACGTTTTTGCTGCAAAAAGGTATTACAAAATAGCTGATCTAAATAGGATTGCCTCCAGGCTGATTCTACCCTGATTCTGTTTCTCTGATGGAGAGAGAAGGAGGGGGGGAGCGAAGTAGGCAGGGTACGGTTATATAGATTAATGAGTGTGAATGGAGGCAGTGATGGGAGGAGGAGAGGGGAGGGAGAAAAGTTTTAAACCTCTTAAAGTTTGAGACTTTTCAATTCCTACTTTTTTCCATTTAAGTTCCTCCTTTATGGCCTTTACATTTCTCTTTCTCGCTGTCCGTAACAGGATCTGTGCAATCTGTCTCCGGTATAGCTTGTAAGGAATTCAGGTGTGTTCTCTGAAAGATGGTTAGATGCATGTGTGTGTGTGTGTGAGAGAAGGAGAGTGAGGTGAGATAAATGGGGAGAGCACACTGACAACCCCCACTGCACTCAGCAGTGTCAAATTATCTCTGTATCAATCTTGAAGGCAGTATGTCACAGAAAGTAACAGCTCATTCCTGCACGTTTGGTGTGTGTGTGTGATTGTGTGTGAGTGTATGTGTGTGGGTTTGGTTGACGGTTGTTCTCTGCCGTCCAACTTGTAGTGTAATGCACTGACCAGATGCCAGATGTTGTAGTACTGCTACGAGTACTGCAATTACTGTGATTGCAGTTAGCACTATACTGCTATTTGTATTAACACTATTATCGGTTCTGCGACATTTGATACCATTATAGCTGCATCTACTGTACCTGTATTATTATAACTGTACTGCTACTACGATACTAAAATGAATACTAAAATGTGACAGAAATCTCAATCACAACAAGGTATGTGGTTTACAGTATCAGATAGAATATATAAGACCTGATTTCATTTTGCTCGTAAACAAATTGACTAGTTTCACAAATACAAGTGGGGCTCGCCAGCATTCTTGAAATGAAATGATAGCTGTTCAAAAAAAGGCTATATAAAGCAGGCTAAGAGCAATGAGTGTGGTGAAAATTATAGGCTAGCTTTGTCAATCAAGTATCATTTGAAAATAATTACAAGATCAATAGAAACAACTCAATCAAGGGAAATTGGATTGGAAATAGGTACTGTACAGTTATTTAGCTGCACTTAGCTTTGTGTTCCCTTCAGATATAAATCAAGTTTTAAGCTTTCCTACCTGTTGCGTGACTTACATCTTTGTCCAGAGCACCTTCCAGCACATTCAGTAGCTCACATTTGTATTATGGATGGTCCTTAAGGAATTACCAGACCAATTAATACAAAATAGGTCAGCAATTCAGCTTCTTTTTACATAGCTGTTTCATTTAAAACTGTATTTTTAGAGACCAGGACAGCCAGGTTTAATATTTCCAGTGTCATTGTGGTCTGTAAAATATACATTGAACACATCATAAGTATTTATCATTGAGGCAGTTTCTGGGACAACTATTGTTCACACATGCAGACACAGGAAGGTCAAAAGAGTTAAGAAAACAGAGCAAGCTGGGGGATGCACACACGTTCATGCACACATGCATAGTCACGCAGGTACGTGCCAATGCACAACTCTGGTTGTGAACACACACAAACAAGAACAGACGTGCACGTGCTTTCCTACAGCTACGTTTCGACTTGTTCTCAGTCCCTTTTTGATCTGTGTGGTAGTAAATACATGGATCCCACACACAAAAATACACACACACACACAGACATGGAGCCAATTATACAATTTCCATAAACAGGCCACCAGTGGGGAAACATGGTACAGTCGGGAATCAAATTAGGCTCCTTCCTAGACAAAAACACACACATCCACACACACAGCAGACTGGGACTTCACACTCCAATAACCAGCGCAGATTGGCCTTTTAGATGTTTCCTTAGAAGCTATAGGAATGTGGGTTGTGTGTATGAGCTGTGCATGATAACATTCATACTTTTGCATTTAGAGTGTTTGCTTCTCTCAAAAATGTTGTTATTGTGCTGACAGAAGTGGGTTTTGATTTGCTGT